TTGTCCTGCCAATGCAAAGCTCACCCAAGGGGGTGACCACCGCTCAGTTCATGGTGCATTTGACATGTGCTTCTGCATCCCAGGCAGTTTGGCTTTTTCAGCAGCAATTGTTGTGTACATTACCATCCTTTTCTGCAAACTTCTTTGTCCACCACAGACGACTCAGCCTATTTTACCCACCCCTCTTGCATTAAAATGATGCCTAGCCTGGAAAGGAAAATCATTCCTTGCATTGGTGTGGCCTGCAGAGCCCATCCCTTGTCTCACCAGTTTCTGGTCATTTAACAGGAGCATTCCCAAAGGGGAATTCCTCTGTTAATCCGTTTAATAATCCAGGAATTGTGAGACCTGTGAGATCTGAGATCAGACCACTGCTGGAAGCTGATGCTTTGCTTGGATCCCGGCTCCGAGCCTCCGGGCAGGATCACTGCATGGGCAAGGAGGTAACTCGACTGCCTCTGGTCAGCCATCACCCACCCTGCTCCAAAGCTTTGGGAGAGGATGAAGGCAGGGAATACCTGTGTGGTCATGAGCGAGCTGGCAGACCTTCCTGAACCGATAGCCGTGGGGGCTGAGCCAGTAAATGATGTCGTTGTGGTAGGGGAAGATGCGGAGGCGCTGGTGCACCATGTGGCATAGGTCATAGACAGCCTGGATGTAGGTGTTTTTCCTGGGGAAAGGGGAATGGTTGAAGTTTGTAAATTTGGGACCATCACGACAAGCAATTTGCCCACTTCCCATAGGAGCTGCAAACTTTCTGCCAGGGCTTGGGGCAGCCAGCACTGACCTGTTGGTTTGGCAGTTGCTGTGACAACTGAAGGCACATTTCATGATGCTATCGAGAGTCATCAAGCTGACGTGCTCAAAGAGCTCCACCGGTTTCCCGTCTGTGATCAGCTGTTCCCATTTATCCTAGGGTGCAAAGGAGACAGAAATGAGAAGGCACGGGACAGTTCTGCATGATCTGCAGTCACCTTCTGGTTAAATGAGTGCTCAGCTAGGGATACATCCCAGAGAAATGGAAAAAAGAAGAGGATCTCTTGGTTGCTATCAAAATCCTGGAAGCCAAGACGGGATGGTGAATACAAGACTTGCCTCAGGCAGCTGCTACTCTCAGATCTTGGCAGCAGTGAGCCCTGGTACACCCTACCTGGGGGCAAAGGCACCCTGGAGAAGCCCAGGACGGGCGCATTGCTGGGTGAGGGGGCATGTTACCAAAGTCTTTCTTAGGGTGCAGTGTGTTTCTTGCACAAGAGCAGCATATGTCGGCATTGGGCTTCACCGAGTCTGTGTTTTCTGTCCCTCTCTTGCAAGCACATATGACTTTGGTGCTTTTGGTGTCTAAGATGCAAGCTTCCATCTCATGATCTCTCTCCCACTGTTTTTTTCCAGCATATAATATAGGAGCTCTTGCTCAACTCTTCCCGTTGGGGATCCCTACAGAAACTATAAATAGTGTCTCTTGCCTAGCAGACATGAAATGATGTCGAATCCTCTGTCCCTTCCTGGCCGTAAGGAACCTGTGCACTCAAAAGCTGCGAAAGGGAGGAGATGGAGGAGCACAGTCACATCTGAGCTCCCACAGCATGAAACCTGGGTGGGGAATAGGGCTTATATGGACAGACTTGCGTCCTTAGCACGTACAAAGATTGCCACCTGGTGGCATGGGCTCCCACAATAGGGACTTTGCATCGTCTGCAAGGAATTATAAACTGCCAGGCAACTGTGTGCTTTACAAAAGCTCTCCTGGCTCTCCAGCCCCCGGCTCCTGGCTGTTCCCTGGGCCGGTGGGAGGGAGGACAGCCAGGATCCATGTGGAGCTGCTGTGGAGGTTGAATGGAGGGAGGCAAAGGAGAAGGAATAGATCTGGCACCCAGACTTCTGCCGGTCCATGTGCACAAAGCCTGGTGCCCCTCACCTGTAATTCACACTGGTTTCCATCATGCCCAGCACTGATGGATGGAAGAACAGTGCAGTTTCACTGTGTATTAGGCAAGGCAGGGATTGCAATCCAGTCATGGGCACGTTGACAGCAAATGATAACCTTTAGCGTTAGGTCACAGTGTAGCTCTGTTCCAACCTTTGTATTTTCGGGATTTATTATGAACCTTTATTGACTTCAATTTTTCATTTACAAAAACGCCTTATAAGAAGTTGCATTTGGGATTCAGATTATGCACAGTTTGGGGACGGCAGTAACATTAATCCTCAAATCTTAGCCACGGAGCCCAAAGCAGTACCACAGACGTAGTCCCCGCAGGGAGGCTCAACCTGCTCGTTCCTTCCAGCCCACAGGCAGGGATTTGTGGTGGCTCAGAAGCCTCGACCACCACAGCCTGTCCCTACACTTAGCAGGCTGTGAGTACGGGCACTGCAAGAAAACCCTGCTCCAGCATTTACCTCCTAACCAGTCAGGATCAGGGAAAAGAAAACAGGGCAGAGAGAGGAGCATCAGATACGAGTCCTACCAGCATCACGTTAGTAGACTCTGCCATCAGGGCCACGTATGGTTTCAAGATGTCGTAATGAAACCCCGGAGTCAGGAGTTTTCGATGTTGGTGCCATTTTGGACCATGTAAGATCAGCAACCCGTTCCCTGAGGAAACACAGGCAAGGCATGTTTTGCTGGGCACAAGCAGGCTGCTTTCACCTGCCCGCGGGCACAGCCTCTGCCTGCAAGGAGCACGATTGAATCTGCTGTCTGAGCTGCTACGAGAGAGTGTTTCCAAATGCTGCCATCAGCTCCAGGGTTCCCCAGGCTGAGCAGAGCCCTGCTCACTGAAACCACACAGCGCTGCACCCGAAAAGAAACACCAGCACTGCTGGAGCTGAGACGTTCAGATCAGCAGATGCATTTTTCACCGGTCCTCTGCTGAATCTGAGCTTCTCCCGTCACCGCCCTTTGCTAACTATGGAGGTGTAAGTGGTTCTCATTTGTATGTATGATTATGTCTGAAATTTCTTTCCTCGAATCACAAAAAATAGCATTCTTTAGTACCTTTTTCAATAAACGTAATAATTTCAGGAAGCTTTTGGCTATAGCTGCACCAAGGAACAAGCACAATGCTGTTTATTTATAGCATATTCTTGACTAACTTCAGAATCATTCCTGGTAGGCAAAGCCCTGGGAATACATACCGATCCACGGGACAAGGTGTTTATAGTTGATGTTATCCTTGGGATCTGTAAAAAAAATCATCAAGAAAGAGAAAAGAAAATGGTAAATGTTTCACTAGCACCAATCTACTGGTTTGCACCTTAAAGCTTCCTCTGGGCTCTCACTTTTGGTGGGTATGAAGCAGAATCGGTGGTATTCCTGCAGAATTCAACCGTATTTCACAACAAAACAACACTGTTTGGCCCAGCTGCAAGAAACACATATAAAAGCAGATGCCCAGACTGGAACAAACAAGAATACTGGTAGTCCAAAGTCTGTGCTGTGTGACAAATTAATAACCCTCCCAGACAGCACTGTTAAGCACCTTTCTTTCTCGGTGCACTGAAGATACGGCTCCGCAGTAGGACCCAGGGGTCTGAGCTGAGAAAAAAGCTTCCAGCTGTCTTCTCCTTGCTGGGGTCAGGCACGGAGAAGGTAACTTTTCAAGCAGCACTTGAGGAAGTTTGATTTGCCAGGTTTGGAGGGGCCCCCATCACCCCCGTAGCCCTGTCTGTGCATGAAGCTTGTTAGCTTCACGAAGGAGGGGTATCACTCCGTGCCTTTAGATGATTTCTGCAAGACAACCTCTCTGTGAAACCCTGCCTTGCTGTGAATTTTTAGGCTGGCATGGGAAATCTGCAGGCTACGGTTGTTGCTCCACAGCTGAAGACATCATCTTCTTACCTCCTCTGGCCAACACAGCCTTGGCATAGTCGGGATCGGTGACAACCAGGAATGCTGAGAAATTCCCGAACCAGAGAGGGTGAGCATATAGGTACTTCTGTGCCCAGATCTCCACCTTGTCCAGCACCTCTTCCTCCTTGAGAAACTGTAGTTGTGGGGAAGTAAAAAGAGAAAGAATACTTAGATTCAGAGGAAAAAATAAATAATCTCCCAAACCACTGTCTTAAAAAGCTCAAGGTCTTTCTGTGTCACAAAACCAGGTAATGGCAAACAAGATGTTGTCCCTCTGGGTTTGCAGAGCATCAGAAGTAAGACATGCTTGTTACTTTTAAACCTCATATAAAATAATTCTTCCTTATCAATTGACCCTAACCATGGAGAACATCCTTAGGGACAGTGGTGGTGCCTATCAGTGCACGTACGTTATCTGCTCTTTTTCCATGGCCACCCCAAAGAAGACTCAGGTTTGCCCCAGACAGCATCTGCATTTTGTGGCGTGCAAATATGTTCTCACTTGCACATGGCTGAGCAATTGGCACCCTGCAGTCGTGAGAAAATACAGCACCACTTTTACAGCAGCCAACAGCATCGCTGCTGAGTCTGCCCCAGTGCAATGACGCCTCCTGACCGGGAAACCTGGGCCACAGCTTCCTCCAGCCCTTTAGGTGGAGAAGGCCAGTGTCCAGGTAAAATTCGACAGAATGAGTCCACAGTCACTGATGGAGTGTACAGAGCAGGGGACGCTGTTTAATAACATCAGATTAAGATTTCATTGATTTCCAGGAATTGAATTTAATAGGCGATGGAGAGCTGGTGCTCCCAGAAAGGTTCATCTTTGGTCCTTGGAAGCTGCACGCTGAGGAGTAACGCAAGCATCAGCATTCGTATCAGCGACACTGACAGGTTCACTCTTTGAAAGTGATCACTGCTTTCTTGCTTTTTTAGCCAGTGTTGTTCTATATCAAACAGGCAATAGCCAAAGAACAAGTGGAAACATCGGTGGAAAGATCCAAAGTCACTGGCAGAGAAAAAAAGGTCACAGAGACGAAACCATGTAAGAATTCCCTTTTCTTTGAACAGAAACTGCTCTGCCACAATATGCAGGGGGAAGGATTTTGGTGAGCTAGGGCTGACGTAGCTGCTGGTGCTTTGACTTGAAGCTTGAACTTCAATTATATCTGCATACTGGTGTAGAAATCAGCCACAAAGTCACCCTATTGACTGAGTCAAGCGAATATTTGCTCAGTCGCTTTGGTGTTGAGTTATCTCAGTTCAGCTTTTAGTTTGGCTAATGTTTCTCAACCCGGGAGATGGCTTGTACTCAAATAATCACCCACGTCAGGCCCGTCTCGGAGAGGATGCTCAGGAGCCGCAGGGTGTCTGCCAGGGGACTGCGCAGGCTGTGTGGGGGCACGGCCAGCTGCGGGCACCAAGGCTGAGCCCCCTTCCCCGTGAGCCGGGAAGGTCCCTGCAGCACATCCCGTGTGTCTCCTGCATTCGGCAGAATGATGAACTACACCCAGTTATCGTTTATGATAGAAAGTTATCGTTCAAATTCTCCTGCTCAAGTTCAAGATTTTGGACTTATTAAAGAGAACCATCAATTCCTCTGGTTGCAGGGATCAAGTTTTGGGGTAAAAGGAGGCAGTCCTCCCCAACGCCCACCCCTTCGGCAATGTCAGCAGAAATGGGGCTTGGCACGGTGCCTTTAGCCAAGCGATTCTTGAACATGTGAAAGTCTCTTTGATACGGCTGTTTGTGCTTCCTCCTGTCATGAAATCACAGAAAGCATAAATGGAAGTAATTGGGAGATGCTGAGCAAGCCTCGCTGGCAGAAGTCCTAATGCTAGAAGCCTTTGCATCCAACCTTGCTTTTGGAGTGCCAGCCTTTGGTTTGTGCTATCAGGAACCATCCCTGCACTGGCAGAGGGTGGGATGGGTTTATTTGAGAGGAGAGATTACCCCCAAGGTGAGTAACCTCCACCTGCTGTGCCAAGCACTCCGGGGGGGGTGGGGTGGGCAGAGGGTGTAAAGTCCTGCGGGCTGCGGAGGAACAGGAACGGAAAGCTCCTGCTTTTTAACCAGGGCTCCAGCTACCAGGCTCTGGATGAAAGACCATCATTTCCACTTCTTCCTCCCTTGGGGGCTTGGAAAGAAAAGTATAACACCCGCTTGGGTCTAAGGAAGAAAGGTAAAAGGCTGATCTCATGCAGAAATGCAAATTTTGAAACGGATCCAACATTAAAAGCATCTGGGAAGAGGTGCTTAAAGGCACTTTTAATGACTACTTACCCATAGCAAATGAAACAGAAAACACAGGAACTGAAATCTGAGCACGAAGCTGCTCTGTGCTCCATCAAAACCAGGCTGGCTCCCCTCCACCAGCCGCCCGCACAGGGCAGACGCAGGCAAAGGGCTGCCGAGGGACCGACAGCCCCCCTGCACCGCTCTCCTCTGCTTCCCACCAACTGTGACCTTGGGAAGTCAGTTTGGCCAGCTCAGGGCTGGCACTCGGGGTTTTAACTAAGTTGTGCTGCTTCAGTGAGACTGACCAGCTCTACACAACCTCTCCTGACACTTTTATGTAATTTCTACCAAGTGATTTGGATAAGCAGAGACTAAGAATGCTTTAAAACAAAATGACGTATTCCCAGGAGCCTCACCCAAAGCATGACAAATATACTAAACCGACCTGAATCAAAACTGGCAATTAATCCCTTTAAATCAACAGAATAGGAAATGTCAGTGCTCTCCCTGAATACAGCTCTCGGGTCCTCCCCCCAGGTGCCTGTAAACTTTGTATTCAGCATGTGCCAGTTTCCTCATTGGCTCAATGAACTGTTGGGCTCTGGGGAATTCAGCAGCATTTAATCAGCAAATGATTAAATTTGCAAAACAGGAATTATTAAAAAAATACTGTCCGAGGTAAAAGTTGAGCCGTGCACAACCTAGCCACGATGGGAGCGAGTGATTGGCACAAATGGTTAAATCCCTTTCCAGGATAAATAGGCACAACTGACAAACAGGCGAACATACTTTATTTAATTGCAGTTTTAAAGTCTAACTGGCAGCTCAACAAAGCCCTGTACTGGCCCATCTTCATGCTTACATTGCCAAAAGACTGCCTGTCCCATCCAGTGCAGCAAAACTGGGGTTGCCACGGCACAGAGACAAGCCCTAGGAGGTCCCCTCCAGATTTCCCAGCTACTTTTTAGGGTGCCAGTTATTTAATGTGCCACAGATTTGACCAGAGCAGGACATCAGCAGAGCCCAGGAGAGGTCAGGGCGATTTGAAGCAGCCTTTAGCATGTATGGAAAAGCCTTTCACATCAAGCAGCTCAGCTACTCCTCACGAAGCTGCTGATGAGTGGTGCAAATGTATTTGCCAAGGTAGTCACACTGATTTGTGCAGGCAAGCACATACCTCGCGGAACAGTCATCCACGCCACGAGTGCCCAGAACAAGGCTTGCTTATGCACGTGGGTTTAGTTAGTCATGGCTTTAGTGCAACCTTAAAAAGATCCGTGGCCCCTGTGCTGGATGCTATACCTAGGATGTGTTTTGTGGCTTAAAAGGATCAATCCCCTGCCTGGCTTACCTGGCCGTGAAGCCGATGCAAGCTGGCAAGGGAGGGAAGGTGCCTCCGGACGCTGGGAGCAGCGTGCATCTGCTCAGCATCGCAGGGACAGCCGCAGCGGCCGTGCCCTGACTTCCACAGGGGCAGAGAGGTGACAGCGGAGCCTGCCCCGGGACAGAGCAGCGTGGCTCTGCTGCCTCCGGCACCAATGCCGGGTTACACTCCGGGATGACCTTGCCCACGCTATGTTATATTATTGCTTTCTTAAATTGCGAGCCAGCTATCACCTCTTCCCACCGTGCATTTTGCAGCAGCCTGCGTGTGCTGCTCTCCAGGCACCGCGAGCAGAGAAAGCAGTTTGTATGGCGGAGAGCAGGGATGCCCACGTTTCCCTTCCCCCTGGGGCTGGGAGAAGCAATTCTCCGGGACCGCGGCTATGAGTCCCAATGGAATCATTCCTCCCGCCGTGGGGGAACCGCGCCCCGCACTCCCTCCTTGCCCACCGGCACTGCAGACCCGGCTCTCGCCCTACCTCATGGACGTGGCCGAAGAGCCAGTGGGTGGGGTGGCCGGGGA